CCCCCCCACCCCCCCCACCGCCCCCCCCCCCAAACCCCCCCCCCCCCCCCCCAAAAAAAAAGAAAAGAAAAGAAAAAGAAAGCAAGCATTAAGGAATCTTCATACATAGGAACAAAAATCTTTATGAAAAATTCACTAATGAAATGTAGACAATCAAAATGGTATTAAATGGAAATGGAGATTATATGCAGAGAGATACACAGAGGATATATATATTTATGACGCACTGATATAGGGTTCAATTTTTCTTTTAAACATCCTTCTTGAGATGTCATCAGGAAAAAAATAAACTTAGAAGATAACTGGATTATACAAAACAAAAATACTAATCTTAGGCTCCTGCAAAGCTTCCCAGGAATTAGGTTCTGTACAATACTTCACAGAGTTTTTATTATTTTAATATATACAGTCAGCCCTCTGTATCTGCAGGTCCCACATCCATGGATTCAACTAGCCTTGGATCAGAAGTATTTGGGGAAAAAAATTACATCTGTACTGAACACAGACTTTTTCCCTTGTCATTATTGCCTAAAAGATATAGTATAACACCTATTTACACAGCATTTACATTGTGTTAGGTACTATAAGTAACGTAGAGATGATTTAAAGTATACAGGGCCTGGCCAGTTAACTCAATTAGTTAAAGCTGAACTAGCTAGCTGCCAAAACCAAACCCAAACAAAACAAAGTATATGGAAGATATGGATAGATTATATGCAAATACCACACCATTTTATACCAGGGACTTGTACATCTGCAGATTTTGGTATCCTTGAGAGGTTTTCGAACCAATCCCCCACAGATACAGAGGGACAAATATACTGTGAAAGGGAGAAGGAGGGTAGCATATAGCAAGTCCCAAACCTATCTGGCCCAAATATTTAACCCAGAATGCATATATACTTTGGGAAATGCTGCCATTGACAGTCAAATGGTTTAAGGTAGGTGGACATAACCTAGCTAGTCTTTAGAACTCTCCTACAAGGTGGGCCAGTTAGCATTGGCCCAAATTGCTTCTGCAGGAGGCTAAACGTTCTTGAGAAGTAGTATTTCATTACTAAAACAGAAATAATGTATTAACAAAGAAACCACAAATGATGTGTAATATATTATTCATTAACATTTTTTTAAATGCCAAAAGATTTCTGACTCAAAATAAAAGTTCCATGATATAGACTACATTTCTGATGCTCAGCAATTGCTAAATAAATAAATAAATAATAAACAAAACACTAAAATAGTGTAACACTGTAACATGATATACAAAGATAAGAGGCTGACAATCACCATTATCCTGCTGAGTCTATTAAAGTGGAAATACCATATACCTAGTATGTGTCCCTAGGTAGGAAAGTCAGAAGATAGTTGAGTTCTGTAATTTGTCTTTCTAGAAGGGTTTGAAATTACGAATAAAATTTTCAAGCATATTTGCTTAAGAACACCCACTAAATACGCAGTATAAAATATTATTGCTTTTAAAAAGACAAATTCTAAGTTGCTACATGCCAGTGATGTGCCAGTGGGTATCTGTCTTATGTATTCCAAAAGTCTGACTTCTTAAAAGTATGGGATTAAGATACATTTATAAATACCTTAAAAAATACAGTGCTGCTTAATTATATATCCCTTGCAGAACAATGAGAATCTTAAAGCCATGTGGTTCTTCTGACATCACCTAATTCAAAAACTTCATTTCACAGATGAAACTGAGGCCCAAAAGAGGCTGTCTTACCCTACTATATAATTGAGGGTTTCTTCGATTAAATTCAATTCTCTAATTTCCAGTCTTCTCTCGACAACACTGTACTGTTAGTTATCTCCTCCTAACCTGCATCTTACCCTCTCCTCATCTCCATCTTAACACAACCACTGTGTACACTGCTTACTCTTCCTATTCTCCGTTTCTTCTTTCACCAGGTCCCATTTTCCTGTCATGTGCCTTTCAATTAATTACTCACTTTTTCTCTTCCCTCACCCTAGGAGCATTCTTACATGCATATCCTAATAGCGTTTACTTAAATTCATTTGATATTATAAACTGATGTAAATTAATTTACAAATAGTTCAGTTATAAGAATTAGAATTTAAGATTAACTCTTACTACTCATTCTAAAGCCAATATAACTGAGCACAAACATATTAAGTTGAAGAAGATTCTAATCATTATCAAAAGGATACCAGATTCAAACCTGACATTTGGGACACAGATTCTACTCATTTTTGTATCTGTATTTTAGCGACAATACCACCTCTCTGAGGATTAACCACAAGTCAAAATATCATCTTAACAAAAATCAAGGTAGGTTTTAAAGCCTGATGTCTGTTGAACAGCTCTTTTCTTCACTGTATGACCTATTTACTTATTCATAATCACACAATTGGAACACCAAAATATTTTTTGTCAATTAAGCAAGAAAAAAAGAATCTCACCCCCAATGGTACTCTCTTGAAATTCATGAAATTGGCCCTTCACAAAACGAAGCACTAGGCTTGATTTGCCAACAGCAGACTCTCCCAGAAGTACTAGTTTGAACTGGCATATTTTATTTCCAGTATTTGGCCCATTGGGTCTTGTTGCTCCTCGATTAGCCATATCCAAATATGAAAGAAGTCCCTAATTTCAGACTCTTAAATGAACTTCCAGGATGCAAGGGGCCAATTTTTCTCTTTCTGGAGGTAAAACAACCTGTAAAGAAACAAATATGAAGTAATTAAATGTACGAATCTGTAAAACAAAGCAAACCTAATACTAATCACTTCAAATTTTGCTTATAGTATATTCCTGTATGACAATTATAAGCTATACTGGACATTCAACACCATTTAGTTTATTTCACTACCTTTTTAAGAAAATAAATTAAAGGCATAAGATTTGAGCCTAAAATCACTGTAATTTTCAGGGCTTATTTTTGATTTTTTAAAAAGCTATCCTTTATTAAAGGCTCAACTTTGTGCCAGGTAGTGCTTTATGTATTTACCACTAAACAATCCTATAAAGTTAGATACTATTACAATCCTGAAAAATGAGGAAACAGAGGCACAGAGTGGTTAAGTAACTTGATCCAGGCCACATAGTTACTGTGACAGAGATGAGACAGAGCTGAACTGCAAACCTACGCAACCTGAGAGGTGACTCAAGACTTAAGATTATGGAGCCAGACTACTTGGGTTATAATTGTTTGGAGGAAAATTAAGGTAAGAAATGAAAAGATCTAACCTAGAATTTAGGATTATCTGAAGGCTTCTGCTAAACAGCATGTTTTTCATTCAATTCATGATAATTTTGGAGAAACAGATATTTTAAAGCTCCCAGGTTCATGTGCCTAGTGGCTAAGACTTAAAACTGTTTCCTCATCTGCTCAAGTAGACCATACAGAGAAATGCTAAGTTGTTCTCTATGTGGTGGGATTATTAGTGAAATATTTACTTATACTAACTAACAGTAACTTTTTTGTAGTTTTTGGGCTAACAATATGCATGCCATTATTTTCCATTTAGCAACATATTTAGAAAAAACTAGCCTGAACAGCAGCTTCTATGTCTTCTCTTACCATTATTTAATAGCACTAGATTTCAATGTCAAAGGAATTAGTGACTATTTGAAGAACTCTTTTTCTATCTAATCACAAATCAATCCTAATAGTTTACTCCCATCTTTAATCAAAATCTGATTATATGCTTACTAATTAAATTAAATCTGATGACTCCTTCCCTGAAAACCCTGCTATATTTCATTTAGCCACCTCATAGAAATTTCTCTTCCCCGTATACTCTGAGCTTAAACAAGAAACTCTTGATAATCGCTTCATAAATAAACATATCCATGAAATCTTAGCCCTTAAAACAATAAAATCACCTCCTGTTTTATCTCAAAGCCAGCTTTTTAGAGTCCTTATCTTCTAACAAATACATAAGGAAACATCCACAGATGAAATGATAAGATGTCTGAATTGCTTCCAAACAATGGGGTATAAAGAAAACTACCCTCTCATCCCTTCTTCCCCTAAAACACACCAGTTTTGGAGGGTCTAATCCTGGCCATACCTATTTCTGCCTGGGCAAATTCTTTAATTTCCAAGCCTCAATTTCCAGAACACCTAACTTGCAAAACTGTTGTGAGAAGTAAATGACACAATACAATCTCTAATACAGTGCCCACCGCATAGTAAGGATTGAAATTGGAAATTAAAGTAGTTCATTGATGAGATGATCAAATACCAATAGAACGTCATTGTAGATTGAAAATGCCCCAACACACCTTCAGATATTATGCACACAATATCAACTGAAACACTTCCCAATTATCTCTTATCTACAAAACAACAAAATTACTTATCAAGGGCAACATTTCTATAGTACTTCCAAAATTTCAGGGAAAACATCAGACAGCATAACATTAAGGTTAAAAACTACCTACATTCATAGTTACTGAACTTTTGTCTTGTTTTACAAAACAAATATTTTTCACAATACGCATTTTTAATCTTTTGAAAATAACTGGTATTCTATAGCTAAAGTCCTGCCAGGTACTCTTTGATCAAAAAATTTACGGGGCACTTATTTTGTGCCAGGCACCGTTCCATATACTTTCCTTACAACAGCCCTATGAGTTCATATTGTCTCCATTTCACGTTAAGAATAAAGTTCCTGAGCAGTCTTCGTATTCCCAGAAATGTGCACGTGTTTTTTTCTTATTAGTTATATGAAAAACAACTGATTCAACACTTTGAGGTCACTTAAGGAAGACAAAAACCAAACGTGAACCATGCCGTTCAGAGCTTAAAAAGCCAGCTTCCAGGGAAGAGAACACCAGATGTTTCATGGTCTCTACCCACTGAATGAATTCATTGGCCCAGTTATCTTGAATGTCTTTCAAGCTGCGGTTCACCACCCTTCACAGATGAGACAGGTCTCTAGACAGCCTATTTTGACAAGCCGCCCAGCCCCTCCATTACCCGTCTTCGGAAGTCGAAGGTAGGCGGAGCTCCCCAAATACACACCTGCTGTAGGCTCGGTTCCTGCTTGGAGAGCACCTGAGTAGCTGATCGCCAGCTCCATATAGCCTGAACAAGCAGTACGCGCCAAACCCCTTGGCCTTTCCATTCGCCTCCCCCGAACATTGCCCGACTTTGACTGAGAACCCCCGGGACTGCCAGGACAGGGGCGAGGCGAAACCACGGCCTCCAGTACTCTTTCCAAGGCGCCATCTTGAGAAGGAAACAGGGTGACACCCGTCGCTCCCTCAGCCAGTCCCCAAATCCCAGTCTCTAGAGCCCCTTGAGGGATGAGTCACCAAGGATAGAAGAACAAGACACCGGGTTCGACAGCTCTTTGGCCCAGAGCACTGACGCGCGTGAGAAAGAAGGAGCGGGAGGTGCAGTGTAGGGAAAGCGGAGGGCAGCGAAGGGCCTGCGGATAACCTGGGGTCCGGGCCCGCGCTGCGGAAGGGGGAGGGCGGTTTGGTTACCTGAGACCGCAGCACGCTGAGCCGCAGGGCCGAAGCTTCCGGCAGCAAGGCCCAGGCGTGGCCCGAGGGACGAGAGTGAGGCTGCGGCGGCAGCGGCGGCGTCTCCTCCTCGCGCCGCTCCGCTCACACTGGACGGTGCGCTGCTCGTGCCGTGGTGCCGCCCCTGTCGGGCTCCGTCCCCGCCTCTCCCCGCTCCGCCTTCCTCTTTCTTTTCTTCTCCTCCGCCGCCGCCGGCGCTCGAGTACCAACTAATCCTTCCACCTCCTCCCTCCTCTGCCTCCTCCCCTCAGGCTGGCCGCAGGCTGGCCGCAGGCTCCTTCACGAACCAAAACACAAACACTCAAGTCCCAGCGCGGGAGCCACTTCCGCTGTCCGGAGCCGGCCTCGCCGCCACGTCGCCGCACACAGCAAACTACGCCCCTTCGTCACTTCCTGTCGTCCCAGGACGCCCGCTCCATCCGCTCCCCAGCCCCATTTGGAAGCTTGCTCACGGGGCGGGCTCGGCGCGTCACGTGACTTTCGCGCGCGGCTTAGGTCGGGTCCCACCTCTTCCCTCCCCCACCCTAGGCGCGCGAGGCCCCGCCCTCGCCAGCGCCATTGTTATCTGGGTTGGGGTCGCTGGACGCCGGGCGGTGGTGTTCTGGGGAACTCCTTTAATAACTTGCTTTGGGGGAAAGACCGACAAGAGCTTGGTTTGTCACGCCCAGCCCTTGTGGGTTGGCGATGTTCCCTTTGTGAATATTAATTACTCAGAGTCCCCACTCCACTCCGAAACACTCCAGTCTTGGCAACTTGGATAAGTTGCTTTATTAAGGGATTTGTCTAGCGCGAGAGACTCCATCCCCAGCATGTCTTTGGGGATAGGTGGGTCCTTAAAGGTTTCTAAATCGTACTTATCTCGGGGAGGAAGGAAGGAAACTCCCCATCCCAAAAGCTGTTTTTGGCGGCTAAACCTTAAAAACTTGCTTGTATTGAGAGTACTTGGTTTGGGAAGGGGTGGGGAGGGGGGCGGGCAAATCCTAAATTCAGAACTTTTATTAAGAATTTTCCTTGGAAAGTTACTGCACTAAGCGCTGTACAGGAGTTATCCCATTTGATTCTTACACTATAAGCCTTTCATTCTGAAACAAACTTGTTTATTATGTTTCCCCATATTAGAATATTAACTCCCCAAAGTGGCCCTAACCTCTGTAAACCTGTGTCTAACATCGTGCCTGGCAGCCAGGAGTCTTCAGTCATGGTTGTGGCATTATTACCTTTTTTTTTTGGAGGTTGTGGAATTAATGAATGAGGCATGACTGTTTTACAGGTAAAGAATTTGAGGCATAAGAGATTAAGTAACTTGTCCAAGATCACTGCCTGTTTGGTGATGGAGTTGGCTTCTAACCTTTGGGCTGGCTCCTGAATGTGAGTCCTTAAACACCATTCCAGTGAAAAGTAACCCAAGAAGTTCATTAGATCTTCCACAGCAGACCTACTTAAGATATGCTTCTTTGGTTCAATCACACACCAAAGGCAGTCTCTGGTGAGTCATCTGAAACCAAACCAAAAAAAGAAAAAAAAAAATCTTAGTAACTTGGTAGGAAAATGTTCAATTGATTTTCCTTCGGAATAAGGGCTAGTTTTTTTTTTTTTTCAGTTTAAAATTTATGTTGTGAGGGCATGCATATTGATTGCTTTTGAAGTGTACCTGGCCTAAGATATCCTGTAGGTGCTCAGTCAATATTGTGCAATGAAAATAGTTGGAACCCTTGACCAGCCAGTCTTTCAGATCAACTCCCCAATTACCAGAGAGAATAATGTGTCATAAGTAAATGGTATCTGTGGCATGTTATCCCCAAGGGGTTGTTCCAATACTAGTCACGGTAATAGCTCTTGGACAATCCCAGGAAGAATCAGGAAATAGGATATGTCACATCAGTTTTGTCATGTCAACAGCATGTCCAAAATCAAATCTATTCCACTCCAGACCTGCTTCTGCTTAGTGACTGGCATTAACAGCCTCACAGAACAGCAGAATCATCTTCAGATCTTCCTTCTTTTCCTCATAAACCATTGTCCATTCTGTCACCAAATTCTCTAATCCCCCAGTTGAGGTCTAATCCCAATGACTGGGCCATGGTAGGATTCATATAAACTGGAATTAATACATACTGATGCCCTTTCAATCCATTCTTTACATTTTAGCCAGTTGCTGCCCTAATCAAAACCATCACTGCTGGTCTCTTCTCCTCCATGATGCCAACTTCTCTAGACAGCATATAAAGATACTTCTAGACCGGCTGGTTAGCTCAGTTGGTTAGAGGGTGATGTTATAACACCAGGATCAAGGGTTTGGATCCCCATACCAGCCACCCACCAAAAAAAAAAAAAAAAAAAAAAAAACTACTTCTACTGGATTTAATTGTCTTTTTTCTGTAGTTTCACAATACTTTGCTTTATGCTCTGTAGTGGTTCTTCTAAAATGTGCTTTAATTTACAGTTAAAGAGTGACTGGACTTAGCCTTTCATTCCCCTTAGAATCATAAAGTTTTTAAGGCCCAGGACCATCAGTTAAGAAAGAAAGTGAGCCAAGATGCCGGTTCCTGTTCAAGCTTTATTAAAGAAAGAAATCTGCTGGGCTGTACTCAAAATGGAGGACAGCCCGGGGCTGCCCTGAAAATGGGGGACAGCACCAGGTGTGGGGGTGGTAGAGCTTATATTGGTATGTTGGCTCTAAGAGCTGGGTGATGTAATTCCGGGGTGGGGATTGAGTTAGGTCATGGGAATGGAGAGTTCTGCACATGTGGAAACGCTTAAAGTTTAATGTTCTCCGAAACCATGAGGCTTCTTGTAAAAGAGAACGGGGGAGGGGAGGGGTGGAGGTGGGTGGTGCCATTTTGTACTTGGGCTTGTCTAAGATGGTGCTGGTTATGTTGCAGATCTATTAAGTTATTCATCATTTTAGTTCCTCACAGAAGACCTTTGATATAATAAGGACCCCCAAAACATTAGTGAACTTAATTACATTTAGAATGGTGGACATTTGACTTAAGACCTCACAAATAACACATGGGATGCTGAAATATATAAATTGCTAAGAACTCCCCATTTCATCATTGTATATTGCTTCTGCATTCAATTCTGTTTGCTGATTTTGTCTTTTAATTTACTTCCTTCATGAATACATTCCACAATATTTTACAGTTTAGTCATAATGTTTGCCTGTGAGGGTGCTGTCCCAGTGGCTGGCACTTCTAAAGATCCAGTGGTAATTTTAGAGAAATTGAAATACCACAGTAAAGCTTTGCTGTTGTATTGCGACTCACAATATGTCCGTGTTTTCTTTTTCCTAACCCCAGATAACTGAGGAGGACTGCTAATTTTATATATTTTAGTGTCAAATGTGGCATCCTGCTAGTTGATAGAATTTGTTAAGGAGGCAACAAAATGGATGGGCCTAAGTAAATAAAGACTGAAACACTGTCCTTAGTCTTATATTGCGCTCAAATCTCCAAACGCCTAATCACAAATTCCTAGCACCTGGTCTCTCTTAACCACCCATAGCCCCCTGTATCTTCCACCTTCTCTTCCAGGAATTCTTTTCTCCCTTGTGTAGTTGAAGAATGAATCCTTGCATAGATGGTAATGAATGGTTACATTTACATTATCTGGGATTCTCTGGAGACAATTCACAATTTTTTCTGGAGATCAACCAAATGGTAATTCTTGAGGCAGTGAGAAAAAGGCTTTGGAAACTCGAGCTAATCATGTTTAAAAAACTTTGTCTTTGGAGGGCATGATTCAGACCTCAGCTTAAATGTCCCCTACCTGCAGGAATCCTAAACCCACCAATTCTAAAGTGCTTCTTCCACATCAAAATATTCTATTTTTTCCATAACAATCCCTATCTGAAATTATTATATTTATTGGCTCATTTGATGGTTATCTATCCACACTAGAATATAAGTTCCATTCCCACCACTGACACAAGCAGAGACTCAATACATATTTGCGGAATTAAAGAATTGAATAAGCTCTTCTAATGCTCATACAATCATTACCAAGGTCAAAGGTTCAGATCCCCATACCAGCTAGCCACACACACACACACACACACACACACACACACACACACACACACACACACACAGAAAAAAAAAACCCAAAAGGGGGAAAAAAATGCCCTGATTTACACAATATTAAGTCATTTAAAGAGCTTAGGGAGAGAAGAATGTTTATGTTGACTATCTAGAAAGTTACAGTAAACAGCTTTTCAAATGTGAAATAATGTCCCCTACTCACTTATTTTTTTTTATTTTTAGATTTTACAAGGTTTTCATAGAGTACTTGTAAAAACTGTAATCCTATAAATTTTATTCAAATTCTAAACTGTTTTATATTTCTATATGTGTAGAACATGACAAATATTCACCAAATGTACTCTCATTAAAGTCTGACAGAAAAACTGGTGGCTCAGTTAGAGTGTGCTGTTGATAACACCGAGTCTGAGGGTTTGATCCCTGTTACAAGCCAGCGGCAAAAAAAAATCTGACAGAGGCATAAACCCTATTTAAAGAAAATTCCATACTTAAAGTTTTTTTTTTTTCCTTTTTATCCTTATTGTTGATATGGAGGAAAAAAACAAAAGTTTGAGTTTGCCACGATATTTTATTAAAGAAAGAAATTTTTGCCACAATATTTTAAAAATACAATATGCATTATTATGTATCATATCTCAAACTCTAACATATTTACTTTAAGTGAGATTTAAAGCCTAGTTATTAAAGTTTAAGTATTCTCAAGGACTTTAAGGTGTTTCTATGCCACAGCTGTCAAGTATGATAACTTTCCAGAATTTAAATAGTTATTTTGCGCTAAAATAACTACATGCAATGTGGAGGTACTTGGGCAAGGAAAGACCTAAAAGAAGTGGTTAGCACCAGAAAGTTTATTTGTTCCCAGATCACCAGTAAAATTAATAGGCTAATGGTCAGACAAGCCAATGTTTGAAATCATCCTAACAGGACTACGTTGCTTGGGAAATGAAAAAAAAGTTGGTGAACATCTGTTCTAGTGGCCAAACCCACATCACTCACGTTTTCGTGCCCTCCAAATCTAGTAAAAAAAGAGGGAGAGATGAGGGAGGAAGAGAGAAGAAAAGACAGGAAGGGAGGAGGATAGAGAGGGAGAGGGAGGGGAAGAGGGGAGAATGAATGAGAGATAGGCAGGTCCCTGCCGAAGCAGGAGTTGCGCGCCAAGCCCCGCCCCTGTTTCCCAGGTAACCGGGTAAACAGACTCTTATCTCTTTTCCCCCAGTGAACTCTGCTAGGTCTTAAGAGACGCAGGAAGCGGTGGGCAGGTAGTCCAAGTAGGGATGTGCTCATTCGTGAGAGTGGGGTCTTCCAATATATTGGGACCCCCCAAGGGATTGGAAACTTCCCTCGAGTCA